GTGTAATTCCACCATGTGCTTCATGTCTGCTCTTTTTACGATGTATTGTCACGTACCCCGTCCCCTCTGATATAATGTGTAATTCCACCATGTGCTTCATGTCTGCTCTTTTTACGATGTATTGTCACGTACCCCGTCCCCTCTGATATAATGTGTAATTCCACCATGTGCTTCATGTCTGCTCTTTTTACGATGTATTGTCACGTACCCCGTCCCCTCTGATATAATGTGTAATTCCACCATGTGCTTCATGTCTGCTCTTTTTACGATGTATTGGAAGTGAAGTGGGATATGCCTCTTTGTGCAGTAAGAATTATCTAAATAACTATGTGAATTTCTCTCATCTTTTATTATAATTTTGAGTTATATACAAATTTTTATTGGTGTACCTCAATTTGGAGCCGGAGACTAGAGCTTTTTTTAAATGTATATATATATTTAAATAACAGTTAATACCTGTTACAAGTTTGGAATTCAAATTATCCACAGTGTAGCATTTAAAATTTAGAGTTTTATCAGCGTTTATAGTTTTCTAAAGTACATAGTACCATAAATACACGTATCTTAAGTGTATGTAAATCACCATTCACCCACTATAAGTTTGTAGCTACACTCTTAGAGAACTTTTATTACCCATACTTTCATGTAAAGAATAGCAGTTTAAAGTTTTTCTCTTCATTTTCCCATGAGTACCATAAATACACGTATTTTAAGTGTATGTAAACCACCATTCACCCACTATAAGTTTGTAGCTACACTCTTAGAGAACTTTTATTACCCATACTTTCATGTAAAGAATAGCAGTTTAAAGTTTTTCTCTTCATTTTCCCTTGAGAAAACTAAAGCAGTGCTTGTTTTTGTGATAATGATGAATATTCTTGTTTAATATTTATTTATATGTTTTATACATACAGTTTCCACTGACATTGAGCCACTAGATGAAAGCAGTATAGGTATTCCCTTTGAACCAGATGTTCACTCTCCCTCTCGCCTGGTTCTCACTCCTCGGCTGGCTCCTCAATGTTCAGGGGGCTCTTACTCTTCCCTGATCTCACTAGGAAGAGGATCTTTGCGGAACCACTTTGAAAGACCTTCTCCACGTTCTCTTCAGGTGTCACCAGCTCTCTCTCAGCGATCTCTCTATGCTCAACATATACTCTCCAACCCAGAAGTTGCTCCCTCTCTCTCCAATTCTCAGTTTTCCAAATCTGGGGTATCATCAGCCACATCTGAATTTTCTTTCATTCATCCAAATTCTCCTGTAACTAGTCTAACCAGCAAGGGAATCTCTAGTCAGCCTCAGAATTATAGAAAACCAGCACTGAATACAAATAAAGAATATACACGATCAGTCTCGTGTTCCTCTAGTGTAACTTCTCAGATAGAGAGTCCGCAAGTGATTGGTCCTCCTGGAGACGATGCTCGTCCTTGTAGCATTCATGGCCAACCTTTATTAACTATTGAAAAATCTGTATTTTCTACTCAGCCCCCTGACTTAATACCTTTAAATATAAATGGACAACCAACTTTAAAGCAGCCGTACAAGCGTAAGATTAAAATATACAGTCACACTAAGTCAGACTCTCACTATTTTAATGCTAAACTTGCAGTTAACAACAGCAGTCCACTGAAGGGTTCTTTAGAAATAAGATGACATCTGTGATACAGATAATTTGCTTTTCTTCTGACATTGGATGTATCCTCATAAAAAATGTTACATTTCATATCATTTCATAATTATATGATGACGTCTCCCTATAAAGTTTGTAGTTAGCTTCGTAATCTTTTTAGAATGATAATGTGGATTTTTTTGTCAAAAATGCATTTCTGCATTAATTGTATAGTCTTATTTATTATTATAATGTTATTGTTCGTTTATAGCTCTTTCACTTCATTTTTATGCCTTCATGTGTAGGTTATCTATAAAAAGGACAAGCTTACAAATCATGTATATTGTCTGAAGAAACATATCTTAAGTATAAGCATAATCTTCCTGTCTTTATTCGAATTTGAATAAAGTGTGTTTTAAACTTTTTTATATTCTAATTAAAATAGTTTAAGTGGCCTGGAAGGAAGTTCTAATCTGTTCATATTTATTTAAAAGGTGTAGTTCAATTCTTAGATTTATTTTGTTAATTAAAACGTTTAAAGTGATCCAAGTTCCTCAAAATTGATTGGGTTATGATATTCTAACTTCTTAGTTTTAAAGTTAACTGATTTTACAGAGTCCATATTTACTTCAGTGGGTTTTATTGTGTGAATTTGTTATTGTAAAATTGTCTTATTTTAACTGTAATAAATTTTTCGAGGTTTGATAACATAACAGTCATAAGTTTAACAGACGAGTCTTGTGTCAGCAGATTTGTTTGAAGAATATTGGTGAAAAAACTGAGTTATATTTAAAAAGGAACATTCACAAAATGGTGTGGATAATCAATGTTATAATTACGTAACAGCTAATAACTGATTTTATAGAGTTCGTAATCTACTTCAGTGTTTTTTATTGTATGTACGTGTTGATACAAAAATGTCTTGTCTTAGCTGTAATAAAAACATTTTTGAGGTTCGATACTAAGATCAAAGGTTAATAAATTATCAACTATAAGTTATTATTGACTATACACAATACATTATTATAATAGTCATGAGTTTGTCATGTGAATCTTGTATCAGCAGATTCGTTTAAAGAATATTGGAGAGAAAACTAAATTACAAACACATAAAAATTAGACATTAATATACAGAAGGGTTAGAAGAGAGAGACATTTGCCATTAATTTCACAAACGCATTACGAGCTATATACACATATATACATACACACACACGTATATATATATATATATATATAT